GTGGTGTCATTTTTCCTCGGACCTTTGTTAGTTTTCTCGTTTTCTCGTGTTCTCGGCCCCCGAGTGGTGGTCTCGTTTTCTCTCACCCTGGTTCGTTTGTTGTTTTCTCGGCCCCTGGATCGTGGTCCCGTTTTCTCGGACCATGGTTCGGTTTCTCGTGTTCTCCGCTTCGCGGCCCCTGGAATGTAGTTTTGTTTTCTCTGACCCTGGTTCGTTTTCTCGTTTTCTCGGCTCTTGGGTCGTGGTTTGGTTTTCTCGGGCCATGGTTCGTTTTCTTGTTTTCTCGTTGTCTCGGCCCCTGGGTCGTGGTCTCGGATTCTCGGGCCCCGGTTCGTTTTCTCGTTTTCTGGTTTTCTCGGCCCCGCGGTTTTTGTTTTGTTTTCTCGGCCCCTGGTTCGTTGTCCTGTTTTCTCGTTTTTTCGGCCCCTGGGTCGTGGCCTCGTTTTCTCAGACCCTGATTCGTTGTCTTGTTTTCTTGTTTTATCGGGGGCTGGGTCGTGTCTTTGTTTTCTCGGACCCTGGTTCGTTTTCTCGTGTTGTTGTTTTCTCGGCTCCTGGGTCGTGGTCCAGTTTTCTCGGACCCTGGTTCGTTTTATCGTTTTCGCATTCTCACTGCCCCTTGGTCGTGGTCTCGTTTTCTCGGACCCCGTTTCGTTTCCTCGTTTTCTTGTTTTCTCGGCTCCTGGGTCGTGGTCTCGTTTTCTCTGTTCCGGTTCGTTTTCTCGTTTTCTCGGCTCTTGGGTCGTGGTTTGGTTTTCTCGGGCCATGGTTCGTTTTCTTGTTTTCTCGTTTTCTCTGCTCCTGGGTCGTGGTTTCGTTTTTTCTGACCCTGGTTCGTTTTCTCGTTTTCTCGGCTCTTGGGTCGTGGTCTCGTTTTCTCTGGCCCCGGTTTGTGTTCTCGTTTCTTGTTTTCTTGTCCCCTGGGTCGTGTCTTTGTTTTCTCGGACCCTGGTTCGTTTTCTCGTTTTCTTGTTTTCTCGGCCCCTGGGTCGTTATCGTTTTCTCGGACGCTGGTTTGTTTTCTCGTTGCCTCGTGTTCTCGGCCCCGGTTTCGTAGTCTCGTTTTCTCGGGCCCTGGCTCGTTTCCTCGTTGTCTCGGCCCCTGGGTCGTGGTCTCGTTTTCTGAGACCGATCTTCGCGTTTTCTCGGCCTGGGTTGTGGTCTCGTTTGCTCCCACTGACTTTGTTTTGTTTTCTCGTTTTCTCGTGTTCTTGGCCCCTGGATCGTTATCGTGTTTTCTCGGACCCTGGTTCATTGTCTCGTTTTCACGTTTTCTTGGCTTCTGGATTTTTGTTTCGTTTTCTCGGGCCCTGGTTAGTTTTCTCGTTTTTCTCGTTTTTCTCGTTTTTCTCGTTTTCTCGGCCCTTGGGTCGTGTTCTCGCTTTCTCGGGCCCTGGTTCGTTTTCTCGTTGTCTCGTTTTCTCGGCCCCTGGGTCGTGGTTTTGTTTTCTCGGGCACTGGTTTGTTTTCTCGTTGTCTCGTTTTGTCGGCCCCTGGGTCGTGGTTTCGTTTTATCGGACCCTGGTTCGTTTTCGCTCTCTTTCCTACCTCGTCCATCCCCTCCCTCCTTCCTTCGCTTCCCTCTCCCCCCTTTCCATCCTCCCCCTGCCGCGCCCCTCTTCCCCTCCCCCCCTCTCTCGTCCTCAGTTTGTCTTCTTCCTCCGTCCCTTATCCCCTCCCTTATCCTCCACCTTCCCTCCTCCCCCTCTTCTAGGCCCTCCCTTATCCTCCACCGTCCCTCCCCTTCCCTTTCCTCCTCTCCCTCCTCCCCTTATCCCCTCCCTTATCCTTCCACCTTCCCTTATCGCTCCGGCCTTCGCTCCCGCCTTCGATCCCGCCCTCGCTCTCGCCGACGTTCCCGCCCTCGTTTCCGCCCTCGCTCCCACCCTCGTTCCATCCTTCGTTTCCGCCCTCATTCTCGACTTCGCTCCCGCCCTCGTTCCCGCCCTCGTTCCCGCCGTCGCTCCCGCCCTCGTTCTCGCCCTCGTCCCCGCCTTCGTTCCCGCCCTCGTTCCCGCCCTCGTTCCCGCCTTCGTTCCCGCCCTCGTTCCCGCCCTCGTTTCCGCCCTCGTTTTCGCCCCCGTTCTTGCCCTCGTTCCCGCCTTCGTTCCCGCCCCGCCTTCGTTCTCGCCCTCGTTCCCGCCCTCGTTCCCGCCCTCATTCTCGCCCTCGTTTCCGCCCTCGTTCTCGCCATCGTTTTCGCCCTCGTTCCGGGGCCGCCCGCAGGTCCCCGGGGGAACCCAAGGGCCGCCCGGGGAAATCAGACTTGAAACAGAGTTTCGGCCAGACCTCGAACAGACCTCGGAGATTCGGCCAGACCTCAAACAGACCTTAAACACACCTTAAACAAACCTTAATCAGAGTTTGGCCCAAACCAGACCTCAAACAGACCTCAAACAGACCTCGAACAGACCTCCCAGAGGTTCCCCGGAGGTTTCCCGGGGGTTCCCCGGAGGTTCCCCGGAGGTTCCCCGGAGGATCTCCAGAGGTTCCTTGGAGGTTCCCTGGAGGTTCCCCAGAGGTTCCCCCGAGGTTCCCCCGAGGCGCCCGGGAAATTCCCGACCGGAGGAATCCCGGAGGCGCCCAGAGGCGGCCCCCCGCCCTCATTTCCCCCCTCGTTCCCGCCCTCGCTCCCGCCCTCGTTCCCTCCCTCGTTCTCGCCCTCGTTCTCGCTCTCGTTTTCGCCCTCGTTCCCGTCTTCGTTCCGCCTTCGTTCCCGCCCTCGTTCTCGCCCTCGTTCCCGCCCCCGTTCCCGCCCTCGATCTCGCCTTCGTTCTCGCACTCGTTTTCGCCTTCGCGCCCGCTGTCGCTCCCGCCCTCGTTCCCGCCCTCGTTCCCGCCCTCGCCTTCGCTCTCGTTCCCGCCCTCGTTCCCGCCTTCGTTCTCGCCCTCGTTCTCTCCCTCGCTCGCCCTCGTTCCCGCCTTCGTTCCCGCCCTCGTTTTCGCCCTCGTTCCTGCCTTCGTCTCCGCCCTCGTCCCCGCCTTTGTTCTCGCCTTCATTCCCGCCCTCGTTCCCGCCCTCATTCTCGCCCTCGTTCTCGCCCTCGTTCTCGCCCGTCGCCCCCCCTCCATCGTTTCCGCCCTGGTTCCCGCCCACGCCTCCGCCTTCTTTCTCTCGATCGTTCCTACCCTTACGTCTTGTCCCCGCCTTCGTTCCGGCCCTCGCTCCCGCCCTCGTTCCTTCCCGTTTCGCTCCGTCTCTGGGCCCTCTTGTTCGGTCCTCCGACCTCGTTCCCGCCCTCGCGCCCGCTCTCACCCCCGCCATCCTTTCCCTTTTCCTCCTCCGCCTCATTCTCGGCCCCTGTGATCTGCGTTTTTTCCACCCTCCTCGGTGCCGCCCTTCCCAATCTCATCGCACGGGAACGTGAATTTCCTCCTCCCCCCGAACCCTTAAACCCTTCTCTTTCCTTGTTGTGAAGCTTCTATGATCTGCTTGATTGGCGGATTGCCCAACATGTCGGCAGGCATGTCGATCTTGGGGCCCCTACCTGCGCTTTGGGTATGTCGGCCCGATATGTGTTTATTGACTCCAGAGCACCCTCAGCATTTGACGTGACGAAGAGCGCGGCGGTGGGACGGCTGCAGTCTTCTCGGGCATGCCAACGTCTTGGTTTATCATAATCCCCTTTCACAGAGCCTCGATCCTCGGCACCTCGAAACCTCGATCCTCGATCTTCGATCCTTGATCCTCGATCCTCGATCCTTGATCATCGATCCTCGATCCTGATTAGGGACCTCGTTTCGTGACCGTTGGAGGTCTGGGTTTGGGAATCGGTGCTCTTTGTACTCCTTGTGTTTGCGACCCCGCACCCGTGTTTGCGACCCCGCACCCCCCCCCAGGATCCAAGGACCGCCCAAACTAGGCTAGGGGCAACCAGAAACATAAAGAGTCCTAGCCCCTCCGTGTTGGCATCTCTTCCCCAGCGGAAGGCGGAGGAAGGGCGGCGGAAGGCGGGCGCAAGTAAAACGAGGGCACCTCCCCCGACGGAAGTAGGCGGAAACCGGTGGAAGTAAAAGATACGCCCCGGAGAGATGGCACCATGTTTGGGTCCAGTGTTTCCGGCATCGGCCACACACGCGCATCTCTATCTATATATATATATATACGTACACATGGGTACACACATCCGCATCGTTCGTTCTGCATCGGCCCGTTGATGTTACCACTTCTGGTAGATGGGTTGGTGCTTGGCTGTGCAAGTTAAGTCCAAGCTGCCGGGGCCCCGCTTCGGGCTCTGGCTTAATCGAGTTCAGTGCCAGGGTGTTCAGAGCATGTGCAGGGTCATTGCAGTCGTTGCAAGTCTGGCTTCCACGCGGTTGCAGTGGCTCGGCCATGCAATCATCCAGCCTTCGCGCTGTATTGGCTCCAGAGGCTTCTTGGCTCACATTACTTTACACTACGTGCAGCTTCGGCCGAACTGCCTCCGTCTGTTCCAGTGCCTGTCCAAGCCACCAGCTGTCGGGATGGCGGCTCAGAAGGCACCCTGGGCCATGTGGTTGGCGGGGGTGTCTGTTCACAGCACAGTGGTAGCCGCAATGTCTCTCAAGGCCGACAGCGCCCTGGCAGCCCCAGAGGCAGCCGAGAGAGCCGCTGCTCGGACGGGCTCCGTCGCCCTGCTGCCGGAGACTGGCATCTACATGCAGAAAGGAGGCGAGTTTGTGACGTGGGGTTCAGGGATGGACCCAGCATCGGGATCTGATGCGCAAGTGTGGTATATGCGCAAGTGCTCTGGAACTGACGCCACTGCCTGTTTGGGCTACGACAGCGCCTGGACGTCTACCACCAGTGCGCTGCTCTCGGGGGACGTGGTGGCGTGGCACAACAAGCAATCAGGCCGTGCCGTTTGTATGACTGTGCACATGGGGGGTGCACCTATGAGCCCTACCCGCCGCCGGGCGGACACTGGGGAACACCGTGCCGCATCATCAAGTTATCCAGTGGTTCAGCTGTCAGCGATGGTACTCCGATTTATTTAGGTGACGAGGTGTATTACTACGGTATGCAATCCAGTGTTTTCACGTCGTCTCACATTATCGGCTGCGGAGATTCGTATTGCACTGGTTCGTCGTCGAATACAATCAGCGGGAACACGTTCAAGCTGTGTAGCTCCTACGAATGCGCCGACACATCAAGCCCTGGAGCTTCTGCCGTTGGCGATCCCCACCTGCAGAACATTTATGGTGAGCGGTTCGATTTGATGAAGCCCGGCGTGCATGTTCTGATCAACATCCCTCGTGGTGTGAGCGCTGACGCCGCACTGCTTCGCGCGCAGGCCGACGCGCGACGGCTAGGTGGACAATGCGCGGATCTATACTTTCAAGAACTGAACGTCACCGGGTCTTGGGCGGAGGCACAACAAGTTGGAAGCCATCACTACAGCGTATCCACCTGGCCACGGCAAGTCCCGCCACCGTGCTAGCCCAGCACCTTGGGTGGCGACTGGCGTAGTGATGATGGTGGTGGTGTTGATGATGATTGCGACGGCGACGACGACGGTGACGATGAAAGGGAGGATGAGGAGGAGAAGGAAGCAGGCCGTCACATGTGGCGCCTTAGGGCTCACTGAGCTCAACTGAGCCGTCTTAGGGCTGTCTGGGGCTCCTGCGGGGCAGTCTTGAGGGCCCCTTGGAGCCCTTTTGGGCTGTGTTCGGCCCTCTTGTGCAGTCTTGGGGCTCTCTTGGGCCGTCTTGGGGCCTCTTGGCCGTCTGGAGGGTCTCTTGGGGCCGTTTGGGTCCCTACGGGGGCCCTCGTGGGTCTTCTTGATGCCGTCTTCGACGCTTTGCGGCTAATGTTGGAGCTCCTTTGGGCCTATTTGAGGCGATCTTGGAGGCCCCCTGGGCTGTATCAAGTTGGCGGAAGCCCCGAACGTGAGAATCCAAATATCACCTAAGGGCAACCAAGGGTTTGTGCCTTTGGGGGTTTTCCGGAGGCTCCTCTTGGAGCCCTCTTGAGCGTGGGGCGTCTCTGAACTATCTTGACGCCGTCTTGGGTCGTCATGGGAACATCTTGGAACCTCTGGAGCCACCTTGGGCCGTCTTATGGGCATGTTTGGCCGTCTTGGCGGCCTTGGTGGCCTTCTGGTCCGTCTTGGAAGCCTTGGAAAACCCCAGGTAGGCGCCATGGCCGCCCTGGGACCTCTGGGAGGAGGGGTGGTGCATGCGGTTGGGCGCTGCTCGAGGGGTGGAGGGTCCTTTAGAAGATAGCAGGAGCTCTGCCAGACAGCCCTTGTCATTCTTCCACGCCTCAACGTGCATGGGGCACGGTGGTGGATCTCAAAGTGACGTCGAGACTCCGGGATGGGTCACTTTTGGCAAGGTCGGGCTCGAAGTCGTTCATGGACGCACGGGCAGTGGCCTCGCGTATATACATATAACGGCGCACCGGGTTCGGGGGCCCGGGGCCGGGACCCCGACCACAAATGTGGGCTCCGGGGGGCCCGGAGGCTCGTCGGGGCTTGCCGTAGGCCCCCCTGGTCAGACAAGACGGCCCAAGAAACGCCCAAGACGGCCCAAGCAACTTCCAAGAGGCCTCCAAGAGGGCTCCAAGATGCTGAAGATGGCCTCCAGACGTCCAAGGACGCCCCCAAGACGCCCCAAGAAGCCTCCAACATGCGCCCCAAGAGGGCCCCTAGACGCAAACGGCCCATTCCCTTCGTAAAACGAAACGCCTTTTCCAAGAGGGCTCCAAGATGCGCCAGACGTCCAAGACGCCCCAAGAAGCCTCCAACATGCGCCCCAAGAGGGCCCCTAGACGCATTGGGTAAAACGTGCATTTTTCACAAAGTTGCCTTTTGGGAGGCGCCCAAGACCGCCCCAAGACGGCCCAAGAAGCTTAGCCCAAGAGGGCCCCAAGACGGCCCAAGAGGCGCCCAAGAGGGCCCCAAGACCCCAAGAGACCCGAACCGCAAGCTCGAGCCTTCAAGAGGCCCCAGGAGACCCCCAAGAGGCCCAAAGGAGGCCCCGAGAAGCCCCAAATCGGATGCTTCGAACCTGCTTCCAGGAGGCCCCGACAGGTTCAGAGGCTCCCGAGAAGCTACGTCAAACTCCCAGCGAGCGGCCGGACGAGGCCCCCCAAAAAATCCCAAGAGGGTTCCAGTATTTGTATCCTTCAGCGCTCTCTGGCCTTTTTCCCCCTGCCCCCTTCCCTGCGACTTTCGTTGACTCAAGCTCGCCTCCTCTCCATTTCCTCTCTCTGCCTCTCTCTCTCTCTCTCTTTTGTTTCTCTCTCTCTCTCTCTCTCCATCTCTCTTTCTCTCTCTCTCTCTCTCTCCTTCGCTCTCTGTCTGTCTGTCTCTCTCTCCCTCTCTTTCTCTCTTTCTCTCTCTTCCTTTCACATTCTGTGTCCTTGCGACCTTCTGCAGTCCCCGACGTCGCCACGGCTGGATCCGCTCGAGCGTGTCTTGTGATGTGCGGCGGTGCGAAGCCCGTCCCACTGATCAAGGCACAGGTACGAAATGATGGGTCCATCATTTCTTGCCTTCCCATGTGCGTTTTCCCAATCGATTCCTGGGCCCGAGGTCGCAAAAATTACGACGTCGGAGGTCTGGGGAGGCGGGAAGCACGACCTGGACCTCCGACGTCTTGGAAAAATCACGACGGCGGTTTTTGTTAATTTTCGGCCTCCGGGGCCCCTCGCAGGTTCCCGGGACCGTCAGAAAACGACTCAGGATGAAAACGACTTGGGCTACAGGGCTATTGGGCTACAGGGCTATAGGGCTGTAGGACTATAGGGCTATAGGGCTAGGGCCATAGGGCTATAGGGCTATGTGGGCTATTCGGCTATTGGGCTATAGGATTGTTGGGCTGTAGAGCTATGGGGCTATAGGGCTACAGGGCTATAGGATCAGAAGGCTATAGAGCTAAAGGGCTAGATGGATATAGGGATATAGGGCTATTGGGCTATAGTCCTATAGGGCTATACGGCTATAGGGCAATAGGGCTACAGGGCTATAGGGCGATAGGGCACCCCCAGGCACCCAGGCACCCGGGCACCGGGCACCCAGGCACCCAGGCACTGGGCACCCGGGCACCCGGGCACCCGGGCACCCGGCCCGGCCGCATGGGGCCGGAATCTTGCCGAACCTCATCGAACCTTTTAATCCGCCAGGACCCTTACAGAGGCAAGCTCTGATTGGGTACTAACCCATGGCAACCGCCGCTACCTTCGTCGCCGCGATCGCCGCCGTCTTCATCGCCGCCGTCGTCGACGTCCTCGGGTTCTGTTCGGGCACCCTCTGGCCATCTCGTGGGGCACGCTGGGGGATTATCAGAGGCATCCGTACGTATCCTGAGGGGCCCCGCGACTTCCCCCAGAGACTCTAACTACAGAAACTCCTTTCGTATTCCGGCCAGAAGCATCCAGAAACGATGTACATTAGCCCTGGCGGGGGGAATGATGGCGATGGTGATGTTCATGATGACGACGGTGACGATCCTAGCTAGAACCTAAGCGCGCGCGAAGCGCGCGCGAAACGGGAATCTGGGCACCAGGGGACAGGGAAACGTGGAGGGGGATAGCTAAACGTCTCACCTGCATTTTCATCCTGGCAAGAGGTGGTCGGCGGATCTATCCGCATGCGTTTCATCAATATGCGTATTGAGTATATATGTATGTAACTATGTATGTATTGATGGATGGATGCATGTCTGCATGTATGTTTGGATGTATGTATACATGCATGCATGCATGCATGCATGCATGTATGTATGTATGTATGTATGTATGCATGTATGCATGCATGTGTGTATGTATGTATGTATGTATGTATGTATGTATGTATGTATGTATGTATGTATGCATGTATGTATGCATGCATGCATGCATGCATGTATGTATGTATGTATGTATGTATGTATGCATGCATGTATGTATGTATGTATGTATGTATGTATGTATGTATGTATGTATGTATGTGTGTATGCATGTATGTATGTATGTATGTATGTATGTATGTATGCATGCATGTATATGTATGTATGTGTGTATGTGTATGTGTATGTGTATGTGTATATGCATGCATGCATGCATGTATGTCTGTATGTGTGTATGTGTGTATGTATGTATGTATGTATGCATGCATGCATGCATGTATGTATGTATGTATGTATGTATGTAATATATATGTGTGTATGTGTATGTATGTGTATCTATATTTATATATATACATACATATGTATGCATGTATGTGTATGTATGTATGTGTATGTATGTATATGTATGCATATGTGTGTGTATACATCTATCGGATTTCCCGGGCCCCGGGCCCCGGGCCAGAACTTCCTTTGTACATAGGGAGCGGCCCCCTCCCGGGACGCCCCTCCAGCGGCCCCCGCGCGCTCCAGTCCGCCCAAGAAGGCTCCAACAGCGCCGAGATAACCCCAGGATCTCTTCCAGACCGCCAAAGATCGCGTCCAGAAGGGCCAAGAGGCCTTCAAGCCGCCCCAAGAGGCCCCTCAAGAGCGCCCCGGGAGACCAAAATTAGATCAATTCCCTTGGTCATCGGAGCGGTCAAAAAGCCCCAAGAGGCGCGTTAGGACGCCCCAGGACGGCTGAGACAGCCCCAAGACGGCCCAGGAGGTCCTCCCGGGACAAACCTCCGGCGGCCCCTGGGCCTCCCAGTCCGCCCAAGATGGCCCAAGAGACTTCCCGGTCGCCCCGAGAGGGCCCCAGGAGCGGTCCGATACGGCCCAAGATGGCTTCCAGAAGGGCCACGAGGCCCTCGAGACGCCCCAAGAAGGCTCCAAGAGGCCCTCCAAGAGAGCCCCAGGAGACAAAACTGGCCCCATTCTTTCCGTAAAACATATATCATATATTTTTAAAAGAGCCCCCCAAAGGCCCGAAGAAGCGCCCAAGAACGCCCCAAGACGGTCTAGGACAGCCCCATATACACATTATATAAATAAATAGGCCCCCCAAGCCTGGGCCAGCCCACCCCACAACCATCGGGGGAAGCCCGCTGATACCCCCCCGTTTCGCTACCCAGAGGCGGCCCAGAGAGGGCGAGAGGGTGCCAAACGAGCCAAGAGGGTTCCAAGAGGCCCCCAAGACGGCGCAAGAATGTCCCGAGCTGCCCGATACGGCAGCGCAAAAATTAGCCGAGATGCGCACGCCTGGGTTCTATCGTACTGGCTAGTCCCAGGCTGGTGAAGATGCAGTTTCTTTAAAAGACTTAGGCTTGTCTCGCTGGAAGACCAGGGCGATGTGGGGGACGGCTGGATAGGCCGCTGACAGAGTGGGTCCGCAGTATGATGCCATACGTTATCCGCTCGTAGGAGCGAGCCCGCACTGGTCTGCAGCTGCGCATAAGGCGACTGGCGCAAATTATCTTGGCGAAGGACCCAACCATGTGCAATTGTGAGTAGATCATCTTGGGGCGGAGGGCTCGAGATGTCGGTTCGCGTTCCACTTCTTTCTTTTGCC